ACATTTCACATTTCACATTTCACATTTCACATTTCACATTTCACATTTCACATTTCACTAAGATATAACGCGCGCTCTGATTGGTTCACCACCTATGAAGAAAAATGTATGGAGCACTCGTATGGAGCACGCTGGTGACGTCAATTTGGTGAAAATTTGGTGAAAATTGCAAGCATTCAGATAAAACTAAAAAGACTACTAACTGGTCTACCTTTCGGCATTTAAAGATAAAATATAGCTATTGATTTCCTTTCAATAAAAAGTTTATAGCGTATTTGTTTGAGCTCAAGTTTGGCTCACTAAAAACTCCCCTTCCACCGGCCAGCTCACTCACAGCGAAATCAAGAAGTCTTGCAGTTGAGAAGTCAATTAGTTAAGTTTTTCTTGCTCAATCCGCCGTACAAGTCACCACAGTAGTCCAGAAAAACACCACGATAGTTACTGGAGTCCAAGTAAGGCCACTGATGCATTCTTTTGACTCAGTTTTCGAAAAAGGTTATGGTTCAAAATGTTCAGATAATTTGTGATGCAGCCAAGCGCCAACGAAGATCGCTAAATAGACTTCTCCTCAGTCAAATAAACTTTAAAACTTTCTTATGAATGAAAACGTTTAAGAATACAATTAGGAACTGCTTCCCTTGCATGAATTTTTCGGAAAAAGTTTTAAAAATGAAGTCAAAATACAAATTGAGCTGTTTTTGCTCCGAACATGCACTAGACTTGACTGATTTCAAATTTAGCTCGTAAAGTATCGTGCTCGCACCTTAGGAGAATCTGTGATTTGATCAGGGCGAAATAAACAGTTTGTATCGTGTAAAGTTGATCGGCTCCGCCTCGTGCAACTCTAACGCTATTATCGTGCTCTCCCAACTATCCGCGTGCAATGCAAGCTAATTTAAGCTCCACAACTCTCGCTTCCACCAGCTTACTCATCTTCTGAACACTCTAGTCTTATACTCATCCTCAAGGGATTTTGATTGGGTTATAATCACACAGCTTATAACTGAAATAAGGTGACACAGACACAGACAAGGGCTGGTTTGGGGATAATAAGTAGTATAGGGAATGGGGGTTCCAGCGCAATCTCAACACGGGGTAAGACCCGCGTCAAAAATCCACCTACGGA